ACCTCCAGCTTCTGGGCTCAAGCGAGTGTCCTGCCTCAGCCTCCCAAGCAGCCAGGACCACAGGCACTAGTCACAATGCTTGGCTATCTTTTGGTTGCAGCCGTCATTGTTGTTTTGGCGGGCTGTGCTGGATTCAAACCTGCCACCTTAGGTGTACGTGGCTGGTGCCCTAGCCACTAGAGCCACAGAACCGAGCTGAAAGTCATATTTCTAATCACTTTTTTTTTGAAAAGAGGCGTATTTGCTTCTTGTCCTTAAATATTAATGTAACCAAGATTAAACAAAAAAAAAAACCTAATACATAAGAAAAAAACACACTTACCTTAGTTCTGTAAAAAAGTCTTGCATCTTCCCTAATATCACATTTAACATGCTTCTCCAAAGCTCCACAGAGCAGCACGAAGTGTTTCTGTGCAAAACAAATGCAAGGGATGAAGACAACTCTGAAGCATTAGAAACTAACAGAGAAGAGATAATTCATTTGGGAAACTAAATCACTTAAAAATTGATCATTCACAGTTAGCAATGTCTAATGTTAGTTATACAACATAACAGCAGTCCTATCAGTGAAAGTAGCCACTTTCATCACAATAAGACTGTTATGGTTTATTGCTAGCTTTAAAAATTTACACAAAAATAAAAAAAAAAAAAAGAAATAAAGCTTAGCAAGTTCACTGCTGAATTATTTCCATTCTAGAGCTCAGGATGGGTGATGTATAGGACCCAGAGATTTGAAGAGTCCTTCCTTTAATACATTATCTTCTAAAAATCTTTAAGTTTCACACTGGGTTTGAACCTTAAATATATTCTTCAATGGAATATTCAAACAAAGGCTAAATCTCTATCTTCTCTGTGAATAAAACAAATTTTCAACTTATCATAAAATTTCATAACCATTATTCCATAACTTGTATATTTATTTAAAGAATGCTTCAGTCCTTTAAAAAGCTAACTTAAACATGAAGGTCTTAATTTATATAGTGGGAAAAAACTAAAAGGTTTC